TGTTATAGCACTTGATAGTATGAATCAAGTGCAGCATTTACTTTGTTTTGTCGCTTTGTCAAATACAAATAAAACATTTGTAAACGACACTGTAACGTATCCGAATAATATCTGCTCGTTTCGCTTTGTCTTCACAGAGAGGTAAATCAATATGGCGAAACAACAACAAACCCACATGTCCTTGGATGAGATTATCGAAATTAGGAATCCAGATTTTGAAGGTTCAAACGGTCATTATGCTCAGTTCAGCGTTCCTCCGCAGCAAGCCACCTCTCGCAATTGGGGAGATTACGTACCTGGACAAGCTAGACATCACCTTGCCAGTCAACCCATACATTCTAATCCTGGAATACAACCAGTGACACCGATGACACCGACGTCTCTGTACATGCAAGATATGCCCAACTACGATGCTGCGACCACCGATTCGATGTACTTTTCATCACAGGCAACAGTAAATCACCTAGGCATTATCGAGAATACTGGTTTAATCGGTACTATTAATGTCAGAGGTGGCAACTATATAAACGTTTATGGAAACGCCTCTCAAATTATGGCCGAACAATGTTGTCTTTCAAACGTGACACCTTACTCTAATCAAAACATCGTTAATCAGGAGTATGGGCTTTTCAACGCTCAACGTATGACCGTAGCATCCGAGATGCCAAATCCAAACGTTAATGGGAAACGGCTGATCGACAATGTAGCTGGAAATTGGGTGCCGAACCAATCTGGTACTTACAGTCCGTTTGGCGGGTCTCCTAATATCACACCCGTACCGCAAGCTGTACGGGATGTAAGAGAAGGCGAAGATTTACCTTCTAGAAATATATCGGACTCTCAATACAAGAAACCAAGGATGGTGGCCGAAGTGAAACCTATGCGACCTTCTTACTCGGACGTTTTAACAAAATCTGCACCAACTTCGTCGTCTCCGTTGACGGTTCAGCCCGTGAAACCGAAAATAATCGAGATGGCAGGCAAGAAAATTTCCAACAAAAATGTCAAGACCAAAAATAAGCCCGCGCTGTTGAAAAGACAGAACTCTTCTGGTAGCGACGATCACAGTTCTCCGAAAATGCAAATTTCTAGAAAAGTTTTAGAAAAAAATTCTTCCAACCTTCCAAGACGGTGGGTGTCGCTCGACAACCTCGGTTCACAGTCCACCGATTCTCGTCAGATAAACGCTTTCGATAGAACTGATCAGTTTTATTCGGAAAGGAAGAAATCTGATAAGAGATCGTCTAAGAAAGCAGAAAAGAACGAGACTCTTAACAATACCAAGGTACAAAACAGTAATCCGAAAACTGCGGGAAATATTCCGAAACGTCCGATACAGATAAACAATAACTTGAATACAATCAATACATCCAGTCAGACGGTCTCGTCTGAAAAAATAGAAAAGAATCAACAAATTATAAATAAAGTCACTAAAGAGGATAAGAAGACACTCAAGGAGAAAAATCCTAAACGTTTTCAAGCCGAGAAGGCTCAGCAGCAGATTAAGAAGGGACAAAGAAGCAGAAAAAGGGAAAACAGAGAATCTTCTATTAAAGATTTATATAAAAACTTGAATAAGTACGCGACTCGTTGGAGCAAAATTCTATTGAAAATCTTTTATTGGCTACTACATTTAATCTCCGATGTAGTTAGCATGAGCGCCAACCTGGTTATTCAGCTGTAAGTATCGACACATAACACAATTAAATACTTGCGCGAGATATCAGATATTCTCTCCATCTCATACCGGTATACAAGTGTCTTTTTTTTTCTTTCTGGCACGCGCACGTACGAGAGGGAGAGAGAGAACGACTATCTTATACACATGTATCTTTTACACACACGCACGCGCGCGCGC